GATCTATAAGAAAGAAAGACTGAAAGACTGGAAGAAAGGAGGGAGTTGTGGAAGTGTTTTGGCTGAAACTCAGAGTTCAGCACCAGCTGACAGAACAGAGAGACAGACAACCTGTCAGCAGGCAGTGTGCCCACACACACACACACACACACACACACACACACACACACACACACACACATTGTGTGGAGGTCTGGGGGGCTTTACACAGATGGCGAGGCTGGCATCACAGTGTGTTTGAGTGTTTGTTCCCTTTTGCCTTTTACAATGATAACAGTCTTTAATAAGCAGAGGAATGTGGTTGTTAACATCTCCATATTTAGTCCCTGTGTTTATGTTTCTTCATGTGTCTGTATGTTTAGGTGTGTGTGTGTGTGTGTGTGTGTCTGTATGTGTCTGTATGTGTTTGTGTTTCCTTCCCTCCTTCCTTCCTTCACTTCATCCTTTCCTCTGTTTTCCTGTAATAGTAAATATATTGAAAACTATTGTGTAGGATTTTCTTTCTTTTTAAATATTTAATCTCCAAATTAAAACTGGGACCATGTGACTGTCAACTATAGTCATACACAGTGTATCTGTGTGGGTGTGTGTGTGTGTGTGTGTGTGTGTGTGTGTAGCGAAGCAGCAGTTCACGCATTAACCCACACGACTCATTCTTCTGAAAATAAATCCCCGATTTCTGCCCGATACTTAATTATTGAACTGACTTAATATTGTGTTTGTTCTGTACCTCTGTACTTTATATTTAGATGTTTTATTTATTCCTGTACTAAAATATATATGCTGCTTTTATCTGTGAAGCAACAAACAGGGAAAAACCCTTTCTGTATTCAGAGTCACTATAGTAACAGGGGTTTTTATACAAAATGAGATTGAAGACTCAGATTATGACAGAAAAATATTCCTTTATTTCCTTTTCTTTGCAGAAGTGAAACTGATGTCTTTGCACCTTGATATCACGATTCGTTTTTCACCTCACCAGTTTGAATCTTCACGTATTCGTAAATCCTGATATATATTTACATTCCCAACCAATATGACTTGAAAGATTTCCACACGCGAGACATCAACTGAAATCAGGTCTGAGCAGGATCTGTGTAGCACATTGAAATCATGCCTAACCTGATGGGATTCTTTGGTTTTGACACAGATGATTGCAGGAACAGAATTGTGGACCAGACCAGCAGGTATTTTACCTGTGACAAATAGTTTACACTGCGTGCTTTTACTCACACTCCCATAATCCTTTTCCCTCACACACGTCAGACATTCATACATTTCTGATAAACACGTTTTAATGTGTCGCAGTTGGCAGCAGAGAAACTTTTTTTTATCTTTCCTTTGCTTCATCTTTGAAATACCTGTATTATCAGTGGACTGGGCTTAAGTTTGCTGATAGAGAACATAGCTTGACTCTGAGTAACAGTTAGAGTCACAAACTACAGTCATTCTGTCTTTTGTCCCCCGCAAACGAATAATGTCCAACAGAGACAGGAAAAATAGTCCCTGCTCATGTAGTGCACATTAAAGGAACTACTCAGTGTAATCCACATCTCCACTCTGGATGTGTGTGCTCAGTATGTTCCAGTCTCTCATCATTTCTCCACAACATAACAAAACATAACTTCCATGTTCTGTGCTCTCCAATATTCATCCATATTCAGTGATTTACTGGCAAAGTGTTTTAAAAGCAGAGAAGTGGATAAAAAAAGATAGTTTTTCAATCATTTTGAATCATATTTATTGTACCATTTCGTACATAAAACCACAGGACTTCTATAGAGATGACTTTAATATATCAGTTTGTTGCTTTAAAATCCTTTATTTTTTTGAATGACTAAAGTAGCTTTAGACTCTGCCTCCCCCCTGCCTTCCCCCAGTCTCTCTCTCTCTCATCATTATTCTGTCCGTCCCTCTGACCCATCTGTGTCTCCCAGACGCTCCCACCACTCCCCCTCTTTTTCTCTCCCCTCTCCCCTCTCTCTCTCTGTCTCTTTCTTTCCCTCCCCCCTCCCTCACATTGACCCCTTTTGTTCACAGCTATTGGGTGGTGGTGGTGGTGGCGGCGGGGCAGGAGGGGGGCCCCGGTCAGCTGTTTCCTCAGTATGTGTGTGTCTGGACAGTGTGGGAATGTGTGTGTGAGAAAAAGTTGCAGACAAAGCTGAGTGGAACCTCAGAGCGTGTGTGTCAGCCGGTGAGGACACACACACGGTGTCGGAGCATCCTTGGGACATGTAGCTTGGATTGTATCTGCAGCGAGAAGATTTGGTTTAGTTTCTTTTTGTTTTTGTAGTTTTGGTTTCCTTTTAGTTTGGTGGAAAAAGGGCTTAAAAAAAGGGTTGCAATCCCTGGGAATTAAACACCGAGGAGAGAAAGTCTGGTGCTCTGCAGAGACTATGCAGCCTTCGTCAGGGAGTCACAATCATGACAACTGTGTTCAGACGCAACTGTGCGGTGAGAAAATGTTTGATCAGTTTGCACCTTTTGGCTGTGAGTTCATTCTCTGTGTTGATGAGTTTTATACACCAGTGACGTTGGGAGGATGATGCTCCTCAAATGATTTCATCTTTTCTTTAAAATGTATGTTGTTTGGTAGAGTTGCGTTGTCTGAAACTTATTAATCGATGAGTTTATTGACAGAAAAGAAGCTGTTTTGATGAAAATGTGTTCAAAAATGCCAAATATTTGCATTTTTGCAAATATTTGCTCATGAAATGGGACTTTTTGTGCTTTTGTGTCTTGAATGTTGAATATCTGCATATCTTCAGGTTTTAGCCTGCTGGTCAGACATGAGAAGCAATTTGCAGACATTATTTTTTAGGCTTAAGGAAACAGTGATAATGCAGTCCTACATTTTTAATTCATTAATAAATCCTCATTGATTTCTCACTTGCTAAAAGGCCACCACGTCTTCAGTTATAAATCATTAGTAAGTTGTTAATAAATGGATTTTGGACCATATTTTCTGCAGCCCTTTTTCCAGAAGTAAAGCTAAAGGAGCTAGAAACGTGTCCTGCTGGAGGAGGATAAACACAACCTAGCAACTTAAACATTATTATTAATGGCTGATCTAATACCATTAATAAATAACTTCACTGTTAATAATTAATAATACAGTGTTACTGTTTTTAGAAAAGTGGTACCTGACTTTCCAAAAACACAAAGTAGACTGTGAGGGAGGATTTTGTCGAGCCTCTAGATGTTTTAGCTGTTCCGCTCAGATTTTGTCGAGCCTCTAGATGTTTTAGCTGTTCCGCTCAGATTGATAACCTTTATTTTGAAATCTCATTCAATTCTTTGCATGCAAAATATTTACATGTCAAGAATCAAGCTGTTATATGGAGCTGGGTTATATTCTGAAACTCTTGAGTGATAGTGAAGGCGGCTTCTGCTAACCAGCCATCACGTAGAGGTCTTCTGTGCTGGTGAAACAGCAGTCCAGAAATCCAGTTTGGTCGGACAGGAATGCGACTTTTAATGCAGCTGTTAGCAAAAAAACTCCACTCTGACGAACACCAGACCGCCAGTTTAAAACTTCACTGGAACTGAGTCAGAGCACTGAGGCTGTGGGTGTTTCTGAGTTTACTGTACAGGACAGTGCACCACGGGTTTCAGATAATAGCATCAGAGTCATGTTCCTGGTAGAGCTGTGTGGGTTATGGGATAATATTTTACTGTTTTATTGATCCAATGTGTTCATGTAGGGCGTGGTCTGATAAGTAGTGTTGTGGAAGTGCCTCTTAGATCTTGTTTTTTTAAAGTGATTTCCAGTTCCAGACAAACTAAATAGTTTAAATACAGGTCTGAGAAGTTATTTATAAAGGGCTATAAATGAGTTCTAAGGGTCACCTGACTGGTTCTCTGTCTCTTTATGTCGTGTGTGTTTTGTCTGCAGGCTACTTTATGTTCTCCTGTCTGACTTGGCCCTGACCTCTGCCTGCTCTGTGAAAAAAAGTGTGAGAAAAATGCTCCGTTTGTGTGTGTGTTGGTGGTGGTGGGGGGTGGATGCAGAGAAGGTGGGTGGGTGTGTGTGTGTTGGTGTCTGTGTGTGTGTGTGTGTGTGTTGGGTGGGGGGGGAGTCGGGGGGGGACAGAGCAGACTGTCTCTAAACAAAGCTAGCCCTGTCTGTCTGGTCTAGTCTGGCTCTGTGAGTGTGTCAGACACCCTGACCTCCACATAAGGACTACATCTCTGTCTGGACTGTGTCTGAAAACCTTCTTTCTCTCTCATGACACAGAAACATACAAATCTTGTTGCTCTTGTTTATTGACTTGTTTTTAGGATGAGATGCTGTTTAATTGGTCTGTCACAATAGAGCTGGAATATTATTTATTAAATTAATTATTTCATTTATTTATTTTTTATCACACATCAATGAAGAAGCCTGAACTAAGAAGAAATACATCCAGTACTGAAACAATAAGTCGATTTATAGGTTGCTGTCAACAGATAATTAAGTGCTAGATATTGCAATAGTCATGTATCATTGTCTGGTTCTCCAATATAAAGATTCACTGCTGTTCTTGATTTTTTATTTTATTTTAAATGGAATATCTTTGGGATTTTTAGACTCAACAGGTGTCACAATTATATATTCTATATTTCCATTGATTATTGACAAAATGAATGCAGCAGAGGCCAATATATCCTAACTTTTCTCCTTTAGTAGGAGTCAGGTTCCAACAGCATTGCAACTACACTACAATTCCCACAATGCAACTGGATAGAATCTTTTTCATTTGACTCTCCCAGCGAGAGAAATGTCCCATGTTATTCAAACACCACGCCCCAGTTTCTAATTAAGGCTTCGGTTAAAAAAATCTGCACTTTCCGAGCCCAAGGAAAGATAACCCCGATGACATCACTATGACGTCATCCGGGTTATTTTCTCACACTTGACAGAACTCGCCCAGAGCCACCGAAGACGCCACGCAGTTGTTTTCACAGGTGGGAGTAACGGTGACGATATCCTGACCTTTGTTTCTGTTCTGTTGCCGTAGCCCAGCTGGAGTTCGTCCAGATCCTGGTGATCGTCGTGGTGATGATGGTGATGGTGGTGGTCATCACCTGTCTGCTGAACCACTACCGCCTATCAGCACGCTCCCTCCTCTCCAGACACGCCCCCGCACGCAGGAGACACCTGCCACTGGCCAACGTGAGTCACATGCTACCTGCTAATATTACTGCAACAGACTTATTCACCTGATCTGATTGATCTCCGGTACACGCACACTTGGATTTAAAAGGCAGTAAGTGCAAACCAGTTGGCTGTCTGACCATTTAAGATGCATATTTGTGAGTACATTCAGCCACACATTCACGGCCTGAAGCTTTTGGTTCTTCAAGTAAAAAAAAAAGGTGGATAAATAATGATAGAAAGGTGAAATATATATGAATGCCCGTAGGTCACATTTTTACTCTCTGCTTCCATTGTGTGTCACAGAGAGCAGGGTGTTTAGACCTAAATGTTTAGACCAAGTGGAGAGCTTTAAATACACACAGCAGCACATATTCAGTCAAACAAACATGCATGCAAGAAATGTGAACTTTTGAATTACACCTGAATGAGAGTTGGACATAGTTGATTGACTCAGATATCATTACTGAAACATGTGAAATAATATGATTCAATAAAAACGTCAGGTCCAAACAAATGTTCCATATACAGCCATATTCAACTTCTAATAAAATAAATACATTGTGAATTAATAATAGGTAATATATGAATTATAAAAACTGTGGTTATGTTGACATTGTGTTTTCAGTAGTTTGGTAACAGTGAGGACATTTTTTAATGGAACACCAAAATAGAAGAAAGAATAGAGTTTGGAGCACCTTGTTAGCCGAATGGTTGCAGCGTCTGCCGCATGTCCAATTCAGCCATTGTCATACCCCCCCCTCTTTCCCCTGTTTCCTCTCTGCCTCTGTCCCTCCATTAAAGGCAAAATGCCCCCAAAAAAGTCATATTTAAAAAAGAAAAACTAAGTTAGAGGAGCTGCTGAGTGACAGCATGTGATCATACTGATTAAACACTGCTGCGGGCTAATGCTAACACACTGACTCATTTCTTCATTAAGAGCCACAGCAGCTCGCAAAGACTATTTCAAGACACACACACACACACACACACACACACACACACACACACACACACAGACACAAGCTGACTTACACCTGAGGCTTCCACAAACATATGACTTCACTTGCGCTTCCTGAATCACCTGCTACTGAATCATTGATGTGATGTTGATGTGTAAGATATGAGTAAAGGATGAAGCATAATCGTGCGCGCGCACACACACACACACACACACACACACACACACACACACACAGAGCTCCCTATAAGCTCAGGGGAGTCATTGTCCTAGTTAATTTGGATTAGCAGACAGACACACTGACACACATACAGTCAGGCAGACAGACAGGCAGGAAAACTGTCGCCATACAACAAAAAACCTGCTCAAAAGTTGGAAAAGTTCCATCCAGACACATTTATGGAAGTGTTGTCCTCTCCTCACTGCGAGCCGTGACCATGGAAGCATCGAGACACTGATTTCAAATTATTTCCACAACAATGTGAAAAATCTGCCGAGGTTTATTACTCAATGTCATTCTCAGTCATCTAAACATTCATGTAGACTGATGGTGATTTATAGGAGCCCCCAGTGTCAACCCACAGTTATTTGTGAACTAGGTGAAACTTAATTAATCTCTGTGGGGAAATTGGGAAATCATTGCAGCCACATAAAGTCATAAAGACTTGCAATAAGTAATTATTAATTAAGATAATAACAAAGTTATTGCATTGCTCAAGACTGATGAATTAAAATAAAAAATTTAATTAATTAATTAAAAATATTTGTGTAAAATCTTTAATGTGTTTTTCAATATTACCAAGATACAAAGATACAGCAGGTAGAGAAGGGCATAAAGAGACACATAAAGATGGTATTTGTTGACAACAGGACATTTAAAAATATCTGTTTGTTGTACACCCTCGGAGCCCTCTAGTGGAAAAAAGTGTAATTTAACAACAAAAAGAAGCACAATTTTAAAGTCACGGCTACATAACGTAGGACTGCACATATACGCTGTTGGTTCATGCCTTCTGTCATAATATAACATAATAAAAACAAAAAGATGCCATAAATATATTTCTGATGTATCACAAAGTATCAACAGTAGTGTATAGTATCAATAGCATATATAGGACTATATGGTTTGTTGTTGGAATAGTTTGGATTTAAATCAGCTTCACTGACATGAAATACAACAGTGTTTGTTGCCAAAGCAGAATAACGGATTAAGGGAATGAAGTGTACTACAATACATGTGTTATATTTGATAAATGGGTTTAAATCAAAGTGAAATGACTCAATAGATCAACTCAAAGATTCTGTTTCTCTCTGTCAGGAGGGAAGTCTGTGGTCTTCTGAGAGTACTGGGACAAACAGTGGTCTACATGAGGTGAGTTCTTCTTTTACCAGCAAGTTCCTTTAAGCAGAAATCAGCCACATTAACCAAGTATACAACAACTCAGTGTAATGTAATACAGTATGACACAGCAGTAATCTGATGCCATTCCTCACTACAGCACCAGGTGTACAACCCACGCCCTCCAGACAGAGGAGTCCCCTCATCCTACCTACAGCGGGAGCCTCAGCAAGCCCAGTCCCAGTCCCAGCCTCCCCTCCAGTCCCAGCGCTTCCAGCACACATACGCCCCGAGTCGTTTCCAGCCGACGTATCCCTACCTGCCCCAGAGCCTCATCGATCTCCCCCCCACCATCTGCCTCTCAGACGGGGAGGAGCCTCCGCCGTACCAGGGCCCCTGCACCCTGCAGCTTCGGGACCCGGAGCAACAGATGGAGCTGAACCGCGAGTCGGTCAGAGCGCCGCCGAACCGGACAGTGTTCGACTCGCACCCCCTCGACTCATCCAGCTCCTGTCTGCAGGCCAGGTAAACCTTTGTTCCTTTGGTCTTTGCAAGTCAACTTCCTTAAATGGCTCCTGTGCTCTTGGAAAAGCTCCCGCTGCCATCAGTCTTCATTCATTAACCTGGCTGTCTTGCTTCCAGTTTGCAGGCCCCTCCTCCAAGTGTCCACCCAGGCATCAGCGTGTTAGAGGCCCAGGAGGCCTTGTCCCGGCAGCAGAAGCAGGGCTCTCGAGTAGAAGGAGCTCCCCCGACCTACAGCGAGGTGATTGGGCACTACTACCACCCGACGTCCCTGACCCCCAACCACAACCATCGGACTGTGTCGTCCTCACAAGCGCCCCCGTCCTCGTTCATACACGGTCTGCTCCGACCTCCGCCTCAGCAGCAAGGAAGTGTGGACAACAGGAATGCAAGGAACACGAAGGAGAAATCCCAGAAGCCCCAGCAGGTGTGACAGTACTGCTTCCTTATTCCTAGCCTGCAGGAAACCCAGGATTATGTCTGCTCACCACTTGGGAAATGGTCAGTAGCAAAAACGAGGAACAACCTGGTTTATGGTAACATCCACTCTGAATGGTTTAAGAGCTGGTTCACGTTAGCTGTAGTTGTAGCTGACATGTGGTCAGTTTCCCCACTGCATGGATTGGGCTAGGATTGGGAAGCAGCACACACCGGCTTCTCGTTTAGGTAAGAACACCTGGAAATCGTATCACTCTTGCAGAGCACAGTTGCAGGAGAAAATCGGGTACTTCCTGTTCCGCAGCTTCTCACTTCCTGTCTGAGGACCACTTCAGATGAACCGATGATGATGTCAGAAGAAGAAAGGCAGAAGGTGCAAAGGGAAGGATGGAGACAGAAGCCTCCTTCTTCCCTTTAACAACTCCACTTCATGCCTCCTCTTTCAGACTCATCTAACTATTCTTCATTATAAATATTTACTTGTTCTGTTTGTTTCTATAGAACTTTTTTGTTAGTTTGTTCGTTTTTCGCGCTTACGAAAAAAAAAAAAATCCTATCCAGGCAAATGGCGAAATGTTGCAATCTTCTTGGTTCTTCCAGGTTTTTGGTTTTCCAGTGATAATCGCCCTCGCTGCTTTGACTAGTTCTGTTTCACGTTCACGACTGCACAGTCCACCGCCGGCAGTGACTCCTGCACCAGGCTGTAGCTGTATCACTGGGACACGTTAGCACATTAGAATATTTCCAGAAAGAGTTTAGATCTAGATAGTGTTATCTTAAACTAGCTTACCAGTCGTAGCACAGTGCTAAAAGTTCTTGAGCTAAACGTTCTGCCTTATATCGACCAATCGATGCAGGAGTTGTCGCTAAAATCCTTTTTTAGTTTTGTTTTTTATTTTATTTAATGTTTTCTAGAGAAGGTTTGCACAAAGTTCAAGACTGTTCACCACAGAAAAAGAAAGAAATCCGCAATATGATTGATGAGAGAGAAAACAGAAAGTAGGGGTATTTTTCTAAACTTGATAGATTCTTATGAGTAAAGATTTTTTTTTTCTGTTTTATATGTTGTCTAGTTTTAGAAAAAAGAAACAAACATCAGTAATCTGTTGGGGTGCCAACTTTCACATTGAACATTTTGCTACATACATGTTGGCATGTATATACGTTACAGATTGAGTATATATACACACATGTATACAAACCGAGAGCGAACTTAAAAAGCACGAATTTAGAGTTATTTATATAATTGCTGAAAAGAATTGCACTATTTTTTAGGATGCGCAGATGGAACGTGAGAGAGAGACTATTATTGTGAAGGGGCTCTGTCTATTGAGGCGTGAACAGATCGAGAGAGACCTGGACTTACCAGAGGGTTGGACCAGCTCAGTGCACAGCATCCGGTATCACGAAAACATATCAAGGGGGGATTCTGACTTTGGTTCAGCGGACTCGGATCAACTTTTACTGTACCATTGATTAAAAAATATAAATCCCTTGTTTATGCAAACGTCCGAGTCCTGTGAGCCAACCACAAGTCAGCATTCAACCTGTGGGCCCAATCAGAAACTCTGCTCGTAGCTCTCTCTCTTTCATCCTTATTGGCCGAATCGTTAGCCAATCCCAAAGCTGGCTGTCACTACCTCGACCAAACAAGTCAAGCACATACGAGTTTGCTCACGTTAATCAGAATTTGCCACATCGACAAATGTCTGAACTAATCAAGACAATGTGTAATGTAACAGTAGAACATAGTAGAATAGGATGTAGTAGAGTTCCTTTTTAATCCTCCTGTCCTTTTATTTGAATGTCAGAATTTATGTTTGTTGGGTGAAAAGAGAGAGAATCCATGCAGATCCAATGACACCTAACGTCCCCTTTGTAGTACACTACTCAGGACGGAAGCCAGGTCGCCTTACAGCCCCCTAAATGAGCGATACAATGACTGTGCACTGCTGTGGCCACACACACCGACACATACATGTGCACATTGGTGCAGACAGACGGGCAGGAAAACGGTCGCCTGACAACAACGAACTGGAGGTGTGTTTGTCACACATCTCCAGTTCATCACACACACACACACACACAGTTCCCTCTGGTAAGTCTCTTCTCTCTTGCAGGCATCTCTGAGCACTTTACTGCACCGGGAAAGAGACCACAATCTTCTGTCAGCCAGCGTCGGCCTCGGCTCACCGCCAGATAATAAAACTAAAACAAAAATAAATAAAAACATAGTAGAACCTTCTAATAATGTAGTTTGGATTCCTCAACCTTTAGAACCACACTTTTAAGAGATGCAAAGAGTTGTGCTCCAAAACTTTAAACATCCTTCAAGTGGAAATCCCACTACCTGGAATCATTGATTTATTATTCTGAAGTCTGTACGATCTGTAGTCGTCTACGGCTGGGTATCCTTTCAGTTATTTCCAATATAATTTTCGATACATCACTTTGAGAAATATAGTTTTTCTACAAAAGTCACAAAAACAGTACAAGAACTTTGGCTAAATAAAAGTAAAATACAGTTTAAAATTGGCAAAACTTATTAAAAACTAATTTAAATCAGGAACTTTCTTATCAAATAATAACTAAATAAGATCATGAATGTGACAGGACATTCAAAGACAACTTTTGACAGTTTAGTTTGCAGACATATTTTGGTTGGCACCAAAAACATACAGAGGTTTGATACCCAGCTGGAGTAACGACGGACTCACTGACAGATCAAATAACCTGGTTTCCATTTAAAATGAATCATTTGTTTTTATTTTCCCACTGTGGATATTTCAGTTTTGGAACAGAAATCTTTGTGCGTTGAACGCAGCACGAGACGAGTTGTTGCAAACTAGACACACTGAAGTGTTGAAAAGTGACACGAGTGTTAATGGCAACTCGTCTTTTGTCATCTCTTTAGGAGTGTAGAAGTAAAGGTAGAAGTTTAGTTTATTAAAGTAGAAGAGTAGAATACGCAGAAGGTTTTGTGTCTAAAGTTGCTGCTTGTATGAAGAGTTCAGCGTGACCTCCACCCTTTAACCCGGTGGTCCGCCAGTTGTCTTGAATTTCTATTGACGTGAAGGCGATTGACGCCAGCACCCTTTATTGTCCAGTCTTTATGCAACAGCGCCCTCCGTAGGGACCGAACCAAATCACAGCCAAAACTCCCCGAAGCTGAGTCAGTTCATTCTTGTAGAGAGAGGAGAGAGTCGAAAGGCCAAAAAGATAGATTTTATAATCTGACACGGTGAATCCTTCAATCTTTTGTCTTTTCTTTTCTTCTCAAATGAATCACAGGTGTCTGAGGCTCGATGTACGGCACCAGTTTGTGTCTCTGTAACTCTTTCTAAACAGAAATGAACCCCTATAAAATTGGATTAGTTTTGTCCCTGTTAAAAGAGACATGGGAATATTGTTCCTATCAAATTTTTTCTTCTGTTTTCTGAATCGTTGCCTTAAACCTTTTTGACAAAAAAAAAAGACAAAAGTTGACAAATAATCAAAAGTCAGTTCTGTGTGATTCACTTACCCTCTGTCTTGTTTACTGTCTCTCTTCCTCCTTTGTTCCGGTGCTGCACTGCCATTTTTCTTATGTATTGAAAAAAAAATCATGATATAAAGAAATTAATCTCTTGACCCAAAGCAGCTAAAGGAGTAATGAGTGGATCAATCAATGTAAGAATCACCTTTGACCTCAGAATGAGATTATGAGCCCGGTCCCAATATAAGTTCAGATAGCTTACTGACCTTCCTTCCCCTTCCCTTTCCTTCCCTTCCCTTCCCTTCTCTTTCCCTTCCTGTTTCCCTCCACCAATGTTACACTTGTGTTTGGACCGGGCTGTTTCCTTTTTAAACTGGTTCGGTTCCCTGCACTGGAGGGTTCGCAGCGGGTATGAGAAGCCTGGACAGGCTCTGATCAGAGCATCACAGTGACAAGTGATGATAATTTAAAGTAGGGTACCTTTAATTCATGAGAAATAAAACAGTGTAGGATCAATCTCTCGCTTCAGGGAAACCTGCGCTGGCTGACCATACAAAAAAAAAAAAGACGGGAGGAGAGGAAGGGGGAAACTCTTTGAGAGGCTCAATGGAAACACCAATCACACATTTACTCACACACACGTGAACTCACTGCTGCTGATGGAGCGCACTACCTACACCTACACACTGGTATGTTTACATGCAGAGAGGTGATAACAGTTGTAGCTGTTCCCTAGTGTTCATTCAGCTCTTTAGCCATGTTTTCTTTTTTTTTTTGCCTTAATTTAAATTGATCAGATAAATTTTGGATATTGCAGTTATTGGTCGCTGTAATTGTTCCTGACTTTCATAAAAATGAAAGCTTGCCAGTGCTTCAAGGGCATTTCTTCACAGTCAGTGTGGACAGAATGGATGATTACAGCAGCCAATAACTTCAACATATCTCCATGTGAGAGCTGAATTACAGCAGACCCAAACATATCCTTTAAAGTTCATCTTAAGCTGAGTCAGCTGAGTGAAATCCACTTACACTGTCGTTCACATATGAAAGCAATCAGGTTTCCTAAAATGTAGCCGAGCCAGTAATAACCTGTAGCTGTTTGCACTGGGCGCACATTTCTCTTCGCTTTAAGCCAGCGTGAAGGTGTGTTTTACTAAAGTCAGCGGACAATGTCTTTTCCCAGGGCAGTGTGTGTGTGTGTGCGTGTATGTATGTGTGTGTGTGTGTGTGTGAGTGCTGTTAATGTACACTGACTTGCCCTGGGAAAGACCTCCAGCTGTCTAGACAAAAACTAAACACACACACACACACACACACACACACACACACACACACACACACAACAAGAGCAGACTAAACAAACTAACCTAAGAACCAGACCTTCCACACACAAACACACACACACACACACACACACACACACACACACACACACACACACACACTTTCTTACTGTGGACACACACACACATAGCACACACACACACAGGTGCACTTTTGTTCTTATTGTGGACCACACAAGATAGCACACACACACACACACAAAAACACACACACCTGGATTGCCTCACGAGTCCCCCCCTCCTTCTCCCTCCTGTCTGAACGAGCTCTTCCTGTTCCCTAGAGATGCCTGCTGTCCAATGACAGAGCTCCTTTCAGACCGGCCCTCCCTGCCATTGGCTGGCTGTCTTTCGGTCTCCTTGGAAACGTTCACCGTATATTGTCGTTGCTATGTCGTACAAGTGTGCCTGCCTGCGCTGAGACGGGCGAAATGTGAGCGGCTAGCCTGGGCTGTCAATCATCCCAGGCCACGCCTCCTTACTGTCTCAGATGATGATGATGATGATGATGATGATGATTGGATGATGATGATGAGATTGAGGATGATGAAGATAAATGTTTTTTGATAGTGATGCCGCAGAGAGCGTTGCAATACACCTACTATTTGCCTTTTTGATAATATTAGTCATATTTTAACGTAGTGTGCTAAATGTAAGGTTTTTTTTTATTGTTGTTGTTATTGTTGTTTATCCACTTGAGAACAAAAAAGGTCATTTTACTTCAATCCACCGATCACACAAAAACTTTTTTTTTTTTTTTTTTTTTTATGTGTAAAACCAACTTTGAGAGTGTAAAACTACCTAACACACACACAGAAGCTGCAGATCACCGGGAGGACGTGTAAATACAAGAAAATGTACTTCTGCTTTTAAGTGCCCTTTTCCAGTTTAAAGAGCAAACGGTGCGAACTGTCAGGGGATGAAAGCGCTGAACTCCCCTCTGCGTTTTTACACACGTCATCTGAGAACAACATCATCAAGATAAAGCTAAACTTGTAACAAATTTGAGCACATTTCGCTCACGCACTTACAAGTTCAAGTATACTTCTTTGTGCATGTAAACATCAAGTCCTGGTATCCCAGTTTGTCCCTCCTACGTCCCCTAATCATCGCCTCTCCTCGGCCCGGCCCAGCGTCTACATGTGTGCCTTCTGGTGCCCGGGCTCGATCGAGACTTCATCCGTCTGTCATTATAGTGCAATGAAACCCCTCAAATACTCCAGAACTGTTGCCTTGTGAAACCTAGACGTCACACAGCACCACAGTATTTCTAAAACACACATACTCATTACACGGCCATGACGTATGGAGGCCCAATAGTGGCAGGAGAATGAGAAAAAAAACAGATTAAATGTAAGAATGGCACAAACACAGAGACTGAAAGTTTATTCTTGAATAAGAGAAGTCCTTAAAGTCCATCTGTGGAGGAAGACAAAATCTCCACAACTGCTTGTTTCTTTGTCAAATTATCAACATCATTCTACATTTTGATCTGTTTTTTTCTGTTCCTGGCAAAAATGGGTTGCCATAAAGATAAAAAAAAAAGATGCTAAATCTAGCTTACTTTTGCTTAATTTAGCGTACTCGTTACTTACGCTGCGTTCCAGAGATGTCGGAAAAGTCAGAAATTGTGTTAACATCTTGAGTTAACTTCACTGAAGTTGAATTTGTAGCATAGCACGACCTTACATCATTCTTACTTCCTGTGGGAATGTTAGCAGTTGGATAGCTAACAGTGGTAAAAGTTAAAGGAAAGCTCATGTTTCACTCACGTTTCTTCTACTTTCTCAAGATGAAGTGTCTCCGACCTGTTTTACTTTCCGACATTTACAGAAACGCAACATGAGAACTGGTTACTGCACAAGATAATGGAGCCAACATGGCTGCTACGAAAGCAAACACAAAATACTTCTCAGTTTGGTCCAATCAAAGCCTTTGGCCTCCAGTACACACAGACACACACACACACACACACACACACACACACACACACACACACACACACACACACACTATAGCCCAGATTTCTGTCCACAGCACCATTAAAAGACATTTCCAAAGAAGGAATCATCCTAAACGAAACTCTTGTCGCTGAAAAGAAACAACACAAGAGTTACACCTGACTTGAACTTTTTTTTTTGTTTTCTTTCGGGCAAACAATTTGCTTTACAAATGCCTTTTTTTTTCCCCCAGTTCCTGTAACTCTCTCACAGAACTGTAGACAAGTATTTTAAGTACACATTAACACATACTTGTCTGAAAGAAGAACTTGAAGAATAACTCTTACGTAACTCTCGTAGCGGACTGGAGGAAGGCATAGCGTAAAAGAAACTGTTTCCCCCTTTTGTGTGTTTGCTCATTGTGCTTCGTTGTGTTCTGTTCTGCTCTTTGAATCAGCGCTGCTTGGCGCCTTTCCTCTGACAATGTTGAAGAAAAGATACGAAAACACTCTCTTTTTGGTTGCAGTATGTATGTGTGCGTATTCAAAACAAGCCTCCATATGTTACGGGACACGGCGGCGCTCCGGTTGCCCCGTCCGCCGCAGTGACTATTGTAGAAGTCTTCCACCTGTTGTTGAGTTTTATCCTGCAAGCATGTCAAATGTGGGACTTGTACAATAGTTTGTTCTGGTCAGGATTCCTACACGCAGCTGGTCCCCGAAGTTTGAGACAAAAAAGAATCTGTGAAATCTTTGAATTCAGCCAAGACCAGACCTGAGATACAACGTGTAGGAACCCTGAACTGTTTATGTAGAAAAACATTTGGTTTCCCTTCATTCAAGTTCAGCACCAGGCTCATAGTTCTTCCACCGAAGCGGGAGGAAGATGAGCGCAGTGCTGAAGTGCCGAGGGTTTAAATCCAGTCTGTTATCTGTCACAGCATGGCTCACATACTTATATAGAGGCCTACTTATTCTCAATGATAATAATTGCTTATTTGTGTATTAAAACAGTTTATTTTAATTTATATTTGATGGTCTACGTGTTGCAAGGTTTGTTATGTTGTTATTTTCCTCTCTGTTTGTTGCAAACAGAAGACAATGGTTTATCGTTGTTGTCACAGAACATGGTATGAATCGGACACATTTCAGTTAGCCTTCGATTTAAAAAATGAATAAAAAAGTTTTATAAATAATTTTGTGTCTCTTCTGGTTATTTATTTATTCATTTGTTCTTTGGGTTTCATTTTGGTACCAAAACAATAAAAAGTTTTCCAATTTCATTTTGGATTTATGAACTCACACGATGAGTCGAGAGGAAAACCTCTGAACGACTGCAGTTCTCTCTTTAGATGTAATTAAAGGTAGAAGTCATTTGGTTGTTTGTTATTAAAAAAAGTCACATTTATACGACTGGAAATATCTCCTTTATTTTCCCCAGCCAGCAGTATTATGTATTATTATGTAAGTGTAATGGATGCCATGGGTTGTTTTCTTACTGCGTTTGCAAGAAATGGACAAAAAGAACATTGTACGTAGAGTCTGAAGGATAAATGTAAAGATTGATTATAAGATTAGCTTGTTAACTTTAGGTGGATTTACTTAATTTTGTTAGGTCCATACAACATAAAAATGGCTACCAAACTTCTCTTATTCTTTACTCTAATAGGGACCCTCGGCTTGCTTTGCCTGGGGCCATATTTGCTAAATAACAGGAGGCCAGTTAATTATAATTGACTGACTTATTAACTTATTAAGTAAATTAACTTGGTACAAGGATTGACAGTTGGTCTATATAACAGATGAATCAGATATTTTACTGCATAATATTTGCTTTTTAATTAACATTTTAAAGTGTTTATGCAACATTAAACTGAGCTGGATCCTCTTCCATCATGGATGATCAACCCGAAACATAAACTGCTCCTATGGACACAATGAATACACATCTTCATATTTATAACAGCCTGAGGACATTATTGAACAACAACAACAACCCAGTGTAAATCATTTTATTTTCATGAATTATAAAATGGTTGGTGGCCTTCGGGGCCAGATTTGGCTCAAGGGCCACAAGTTGAGTATCACTGAACTATAATCTCACATACACATTTACTGTCACTCTCACATGTGTATATATTTTCATACTTCTCATCTTTTGTGCTTTCACTGGAAAAGGAAGTTCCTCCTTAATCTGCTAACACAGACTAAAGAACAACCTGTACTCTGTGATCTGTGTAATGTAAACCAGCATCCAGCAGGTGGCGCACTTCACTTCTATTTGTGTCCAGTCAGGGCTCCTGTCCTTGAGCTGCAGGGAGCCTGAAGCCTCATGATGTTCACTTTTCATCAGGT